CGAATTTTATTTCTCTAACACCGTTATCATTACTAAGTGCATGCAGACTCTTTCTACCTATTGTGGGTTTCAAAATATCCTCCCTCCCAATCTTTGAATTGGAATCTCCTAGCAGATTATTCATGTGATACTTTATCTAGGCCTGCATTCCAGGATAAAATTATAATTGGTATTAAACAAAAGAGTGGGACAAGCAAATTTATCTCGTTCAGTATACGTACATTCCAACCTAATTAATCATTTGATCATTCTGTCCAATTCGGAAATTTTTATAAAAAATTTAAGGCGCCCAAACTCGTTAAGTTTGGAATTTCTCATTATATGCTTTCTCGTACATAATCTGATCATGCATGTCTATAAGACATAAAATTCCTGGAAAAGCTTGCTGAATTTTGACAACAGATAATTTATTGATCGATGTGCTACAGTCTAATCAAGCTCATTCGCGATACTGCGTACTTTCTGCATTTCTGAAGAAACGTCCATAGAAGATAAAGTTAATGTCGTTTCCTGTATGAATACTTTATATAGTAAGAAGTGCAAATAATAATGCTAAGGATTTTTAGTATCAGACCGAAAACTCAGAAATTATGGTTGCGAAACTGATTGTAATATTAACTTTTATACGATTTTATCCGCTGCATATTAAGAACCTTCCTTCTGCGTTACAAATGTAGTTTATATTGAAGGGGGTTTACGCCGTCAAACAAAATTAGTACGTGCAGGTATATTTACCAAGAGAAAGTCCACTACCTTTTATTAATTGCGTAAAATGATGTTTCTCTCTATTATTAATGACGGTATTGAAATAGATTCTCATGATTCGTAAAAATTATATATTTCCTTTCGCCCGTTTATTCCGTTTATTTTAAACTTCCCCTCTTAACTAATAAACCTAATAATGTTTTTTTCTTAGTAAGTATTAGTTGTTAAGTGTTCAAATTTTCGAACTTAATACAGGCTAATGCAGTTTACAAAATAATTAGAAATCCCTAGATCTCTCAAAGTCCTGAGAAACTTAAGTGCACTCAGTTGGGCAAGCAGTTCTCCACGTTTTATAGAACCCAATGATTAATTTCTAACTTTACAAGAACCCGCCACTGAAACCTATCCTGTTTCCCTAAGAACCATTTTAATATTATCTCAATATCTACGTCTGTTTCTCACGTTTCAGTGCCTGCTATATGTCCACCTCTTCTAATCCACCTTGATTTTATCACTTCTAGGAGTTCAAATTATGAAATTCCTCTATCAATTCTCTTCAACCTCCTGTTAGGTACGTCCTCTTAGGTACAATTATTCTCATCACCTTTCAAAAACAAGTTCAGATTGTTCTTCCCTTAATTTACCCCACCCGTTCAAAACAGCAGACAATATTATAATATTTGCGTATCTTCATATTTACATTTGTAGATAAATATAGTTTATATAAACCAAGCGATTTCACAATATTACTGTGTTCCTCCAATTACTCAGAATCACTAGAACGAATGACGTCTTGATTTTTCATATAGATCCTTATTGGCAC